CACTGGCAGGCGATTTACCTAGGATGTAATGGGCGAGGAGAACATTTTTGCTCCTATGGCTTGGGTCCATATGTACCCAAAATAAGACAGTTCATGGATCGGCAGTGCTCGCTCTGGACGAAAAACACTGTAGATTTACAAGCATTTGATTCAGCAGTATGTGGTCAATATTGTACGATGTATCTACTGTTTAAGGCACATGGTTTCTCCATGCGAGATTTTGTATCTTGTTTTACTACAGAATGTAATCAAAATGATGAATTTGTTAAAAATATGTTTCAACGATATGCAAAAAATGTAAAACTTTGTGACGATGTGCGCCATAAGAAAGCACAAACATGTTGTAACAAAAGACAATGTAAAAATAAAAAATAAAGAAACAAAAAAACAATTTGGTTATTTGATTTGGATTCCTTAATCCCACTCAACTGAAGTGTCCCACACAATAAGAGTCACTAACAGTAAAAATCACAACCCTGTGTCAGAGGAACCCAGGCAACTTGTGGGTAGTCAACCACCGTGTGTCTGAGCCAAATCCGTGACCCCAGTGTTCGCCAGGCGACCCCTTGGAGATAGGCAACCGTTACCCAGTACCAATTATACTACTAACAGCAATGGTGGTTCAAATTTGCTCCCGCAGTGACTAAATTGAGATAGCAGCAAAGCAAATGTGTGATCTTATCCCACATGATTTCATATCCCGCAGTCAAAGGGACTTTATACAAAATATGAAAGAAAATCTTCCTGCTAACACTGCCATGATTGCAATGGATTTTAGCATGAATTTCAATTGTTTAATTCAAGGAGCTGTCCAATCCTACCACTGGTCTCCAAAACAAGCTCAATTCATCCAACCGTCATTTATTACAGAAATAGTGACAATGTTGTTACACATAGGAGCCTTATGGGACATTCCATGTGAAGTCAACCAGGCCTTAGCCACCATGGGCTCCGATCCGGTTCTCGTTTTCAGGGTTTGTTACCCCTATGGTCCCATGAAATAATCGGTACTTGGTTTGGGGTCCGGCCCCCCAGGGGCTGGGCTATGGCCAATTTACTTTTTTGCTAAATATTGAAACAACGCAACTTTGGAGGGCAATATCTCAGCAACCATTGGTCGTAGGTCACATCCGAGACCAGATTTGGAAAGAGGATGAAAAACTGAATCTTTTTGGTCTTTGAAGTTTTTATGTCCAAAAACTTTTTATAACTTCAAAACTTTAGTTAAGTTTTCAAATTAGCGCCATTTCCTAGATCCTCAACCGATTTTGACCAATCTGGGCTTAAAAGATAGCTTGAACCCTTCTCTAAACGAAAATGTTAACCAAAAAAATGTGCTCGGCTTCGTTCCCGAGAACGAGCCATTTTCGTAAACCCCTGCAACCACGTATTTCACCAAATTGTAGTGACGGCCGCACTCGCTACCACACTGGACGCTCTCTTAGGTGTTTTCGGCTCAAAGCAAGCTTCCGGGTTGCTTTTCTAAGGTCAGGGGACCCAAGCGCCTGTCAGGTAGGCCAACAATCAGCAGCCCTGCTACGCACTAGTGACGACCGGGTGGCCTACCTTGCCCCTAAAGAGGTAACAGGTTGTTTTATTATCATAACAATACACGTGGATACCTCGTTAACGTTCTCAGATAAGACTAATCTGATATCGATGTGACTAAAGATAGTCAACTTTATTTGCTGGTGGTTCCGCACTGCCAACCGGTGTAGCAGCAGCCCACCTGCGGTGTGAAGGGCTCTCAAAAAAGCTCAGGGACAACTTGAGTACACTGCGAGAAAAGATCACGGTAAATCCTGTACTGATTACTCCAGACTTCACCGTACGTTTTTTGACAGGCAATACCGTGGTTTTTTTTCACAGGCAATGCCGTACTTTTTTCTACAGGCAACACCGTACTTTTTTACAGGGAATCCCGTACTTTTTTACCCGGCGATCCCGTACTTTTAGTACCTATCAAAAACTGCTATAATTTTGTTTAGTCGGTTGACCATCTTTTTCCAAGTTCCTGATGCACGCAACTGCTGAAGTCGGACTCCTGGACCCCCCTTCCGACCACTCGTTGAAAAGGTCTTGACGAGACCTATCGAAAGGTGCGATAAAATTTTTCAGTCGGTCGACCCCCTTTTTTCAAGATCCTGATGTGGACAATTCTTGGAAGCGGCCTTTGTTGGGACCAAATCTGGTCCTTCCTACGGCATGGACTGTACGAAAGAACGGAAAATACTGTTAAAAGACTACGGAATATTTTGTAAAACAAGTACGGTAAATACTGTAGACTGTACGGTGGATACTGGTTTTTGAAGTACGGTAAAGTTTGGCAAAAAAATTATCCAGGATTTACCGTCATTTTTTCTCAGAGTGTAGCCTTTTTTTGTTGCCACATTGATTATTCTGCCTTCAACGCTCCGCTATCTTTTTCTTTCTGAAGGGGGCTCACACTCTAAATGTCTTACAATGAAGTTTGACCTGTGTTATTCGTATGTTACAGTGGATTCGGCGCAAGCATAATACGAAGCAATATTCCTTCGTAATACGAATCTTTTTACCTTTTTCATTGTAAGATACAAAGAAAAACCTTCCTAATACGGAAAAAAACCACCTTCGTATTATGCTTGCGCCATTTCCTTCGTATTATGGGAAATTTCTTCGTAAGACATTTAGAGTGCACCCCACATCGCCAAATATTTGAAAGCCCCACCAATTAACACCCTCCAAACCCGTTATGTTCCTTCCAATGAATATACACCCGCCGCGCCGTACCCATTCATCCCATTGTTTCCTGTGAAAGTAGTGGGGAAGTTGCAGTTCGGGATATAATTTTTAGAGTCCCGCTATGACCACCGAAAACTGCCCCTCGTGGAAGCACTTCACCTGTCTTCACACTGTCTACTTGGTGTCTTGGCAGTTCATTTCCGATCAGAACATTTTTCTTTCTTGAAAACTGGTTACACACAAGTAGTGTCAGGCAGTTCATTTCAGTTTAGAACCTTTTTTTTTCTTTTTTTGGAAACTGGGTACGCAAGTAAAGCCGCCCGCTACCTTAGCTACTTTAAGGTCACAAATATCAACGTCGTTCACACTTAATTCTTGTGGACTTTTAAAATGCATAGTTATGCATTTTTTATGCATAGTTATGCATTTTTTATGCATAGTTATGCATTTTTTATGCATAGTTATGCATTTTTTATGCATAGTTATGCATGCACAGATACGTCCATAAGGTATGAATAAAATTATGCATCACTGTGTACATATTATGCATCCTCCTGCATAAAATGTACACAGTGATGCACAATATTATACATAACGTATAGACGTATCTGTGCATGCATAGCTAAGCATAAAAAAGTCCATAAGAATTTAGTGTGTTCAAGATTTACAACCGTTCAGAAGTAATCAGGCCGGCCTCGGGATAACTTCGCAGTCAACCCAGTTGCAGAAGAGATTCTCTTGACTGCCGACAGCACCCATCTGAACTCGAAACTTGTAGCGGCCATACGGCATGATCTTGAATTTAGGAAATTCCCACTTCATCGGTTCGTTCTCGATCGTGTGGGATCCCTAAAGAGAAGAACGGGCGCACATTGAAGGATATGTAGGAAGTAAGAGATTGGAGGTCAGACGAGGCATTTTTTTAGGATTTTCTTCCAATATGTGAGAGGATTATGTACACTCTAAATGTCTTACAATGAAATTTGACCTGTGTTATTCGTATGTTACAGTGGATTCGGCGCAAGCATAATACGAAGCAACATTCATTCGTAATACGAATCTTTTTACCTTTTTCATTGCAAGATACAAAGAAAAACCTTCCTAATACGGAGAAAAACCACCTTCGTATTATGCTTGCGCCATTTCCTCCGTATTATGGGAAATTTCTTCGTAAGACACTTAGAGTGTACGGGAAGTCACATCGAAATCGAAGATGAGCTATTTTGAAAACAGCGATTTTACAAAAAAAAAATTAAAAAAAAAAATCCTTAAATGGAGGCAGCGACATGAAAACTTCACCCAATCGTCTCGAAACTATTTCTATCGTGTGTCACTCCATAAATCGAAGAGCGTACATTTTATGCTCTAACTGGAGCATGCCTGCACGCACGCTCTAGCTAGCGCATGCATGCTATGTACACGCTTCCTGATGCAGGCAACTCCCTATCCCTTATGCACTACATGTATGCTTCAGTTAGCGTGAACATGGCATGTATGCTTTGCTTGTGCAGTGCATGCTTGGCAGGCATGCGCTAGCTAGAGTGTGCTTGCAGGCATGCTCTAGTTAGAGCATTCAATGTACGATCTTCGATTTGTAGAGCAGCTCTTTTTACGTAAAGAACCATTGTTAGAAAAAATCTAAAAACTTTCACTAAGTACGGAGAAAAATAAAGAAAGTGTCTCGTCAGGAGTACAAACATTCATTTTTATGATATTTAGTACTTACTCCTGACGATCTCGTTCGTCGTCAGAACGAAATGTTTGTTGTGACAACAAATTGATAGTACGCCTAACAACTTTTTTTAGCTATCCCAAAATCAACATACAATATCGTTGTCACAACAAATTCTTTTTTTACGTGTCGCACGCTGCTTGCACTGCATTGCCTAAGAGTGTGAGAAGTAATTTCGCAGGCAAGGACGGTCTTTGATTGTTGTCTTGTGGAAATACCCCCCGCACCGATCACCGATCGCTCTGTGGCTTTTGACAATACCCCTTTATTCTCTTTAAGCAATAATCCTCGCTCTCACATTGGGCTTGGGCGAATTATTTTGGCGTGGGTGAGATCGAGAAAGGGTTAAGGGACCTCGGGTGAATTTTAGAGGGTGAATTAGCCGTGGGTGTATTGACTTAGGGTCAGATCGGTTTGGGGTGAATAACGTCTGGGTGAGCGGGCCGGACCCCGGAACGCATTTTTCTACCCTTGGGAATACGCAGGGTTGCTTTCTGTCTTTTGCCGGCGTTGTGTTAGTGGCCTTCGAAAAGAGGCGGAAGAGGGCGGGCAGTTGTTCTCGTATCGAAGAACATGCATTGCCAGGAAATTTGAAAATAAATGCATTCTCTTTCCACTCGTTATTCGCGCGAAGTGCCATGCTGACGCGAGCCTGTGAAAAAAGGGGTAAGTCCCGATAAGAGGAGAGTCGGGTCCACATGCGATTCAGACTGCATTTTCGGCACTGAAAATTGGATGGTCGGACACATGGCCAAATTGGGGTGCGACAAAAAGTCACGCCGAAAATTGGCATGACAGGAGATTCACGCCTTAAAACGGCATGACATGTGCGTCACGCCGTCATCTGGCGTGAATGTTCTATGTGGAGCGCAAGAACGCGTTTTAAGAGAATAGTCACGCCAGAAACCGGCATGACAGGAAATATACGCCAAAACTTGGCGTGAATTCGGAGTCACGCCGATTTTTGGCATGACGTTTTTGTCATGCCGTTTCTCTGCGTGACATTTTAATTCACGCCCCTGCAGCGGCACGAAGTCACGCCGGTAGATTTTCAGTGGGGGTATTACACGAGTGTTTGCCCCCTCGGCGTACCTGGAAGTACGGCTTTTACCGTAGTTTGTACACTGCATTTTGAAGATGGGGCCATAGATTCCATTTCAAGGAGTTGAGTGAGTTTTTAAAATTGCCTTGATTGACTTTGCTGATAAGGAATGGGTGTCTCTCGGCTAATGCACTGTACAAACTACGGTAAACGCTTCCAGGTGCGGTAAACATCCGTACTTTCAGGTACGGTAAACCCTGTACTTTCAGGTCTTTCAAGTAAGGTAACCACCGTGCTTCCACGGCAAATCCCCCCGTTAATGCATTAATGGCGAAAACCGTATACTCACAGTGGTCTCTTAATTTCTTACTTTTCTGTTTTCAGTGCTACCGACAAGCGCGATTTGTGGTGCTCATAACTTTCGGATCCCACTGCTTACCCAGAGGTTGTCATCCAGCTCTTTCTTGAAGCTCAGATTCCCCGAGACTGTCTGCGTTTCGAAGGGTCTGGACGGGTTGAAGTGACTTGGACGGAAGTCTAGTGTGTAAAAATGGGGACTATTGCGGTTTTGAAATCTCTCAACCCTCGCATACCAATCAATGGACCCTAAAAGTCAGAAGCACCCGAAAAAAAGCCGTTTGGGTTAGAACGACATAAATTGTTGGTCAAAGAATGATTTTTAGGATCATTGGTCAACCCTTTTGGGGCGTTTTGTGTTAAAACAAATAGGTAATGGCTCCCTTCAAGTGGATCGTGGGCAACCCCAAATCATGGGCTAATTGGCCCCTTTTGACCAAATGGTCCTATTTCTGGCCCTTTGGTTTTTTTCTTGTTTTTGAACAAGGCCTGATTTTCCCCTTAAAATTGTTGAGAATTTCCTCATTATATTTTTTTGCTGAGTATCAGTTGAACCAAGTCCAAAGTTCACTTTAAGTTTGAACACTATATGAAGAGGTACCATTCACACGTCGGGAAATCAAACGACCAACCAAAGAATGAATCATGAAGTCCTTTAAAGCATTTTTTTCCTTCAGCTTACATTTTCTCCTGGCCTCCGACAGCAAATAAGCTTTCCGATTTAAAAAGGTGAAAAACATTCAACTGGTGAATCGTTCCCTAAATGAAAGTGTCACATGGGGATTTAAAAGTTTTAGGAAGCAGAAAAAGTAAAATTCATAGTGAGAAACGAGCCAAGCTTATTTTCTACTTGCAAACTCAAGTGAAGAACATCTTAGAGATATGCTTAAATGTATTTTAAAGGTTAAAAAGCGGACCGGTGGGAAATAGAAAAAGTTCCAATGAGCTATTTTAAGGCGGTTTCCAATTCTGATCGCTACCATTCCGTCCTTTCGAGGAGAGTCACGACCTATTGCACGTCAATTCTCCTTCATGATACCTTCCTTTGAGTCTTCTTACCGCTGTTGGATAGCAAGCCGTTTGGGAGAAAAAGCCAAAGTCACATGGTGGCCGTGTCACATGGTACCCCACCTTCCCTTAAGTGTACGCTTGCGAGTCGCATCTCTCGACACTCCTCGCATACGCAATGAATGGACCCTAGGGCAGAAGACCCTGAGCTTAAAAAGGGGTTTTAGCCGTTGACGTTGAGAAGACATATAATTGTTCGGTCAAAGAATGATTTGAGGATCATTGGTCAACTTTTTACTGGGTTGTTTTGTTTATTTATAGTAATGCTCCTTCGTAGTGATCGATGTCAACACAAGTGATCATGGGCTAATTTGCCTTCTGACCTGAATGAGTCCTTATTTCTGCCTTTGGTTTTATTTTTACTTGTTTGTCCGACACATAGGGCCTGGTTTTCTTGTATTTGATGCAACTTCGCACAGTTATTCTTTTTAAAAAAATCATTTAACAAATCGTACCGAAAGATTAATTTAAGATTCGAACACTGATTATGAAGAGGGAACATTCTCACGATCGAAATGCAAACGACCAACCTAGAAAAAGTAATCATGTAAACTTCAAAGCAATTTTTTGTCTTCAGACTTACATTTTCTCCATGGGACCTCACTGCACAGCAAATAACATTCCGATTAAAAAAAAAAAGCGTTAAAATGTGTTCGTTTCTAAAATAAAACTCTCATGGGTTCACTGTACTACAATGCAGATAGTAAGTTCATAGTGTGATCAATCATTCTCACTTTTCTACTCTGCAATGACTTATATTTTCATCCTAAATTAGGTCATTTTGGACCAAAAATTTCAAGTCAAGTTTTATATTGTTTCCTGCAGTTTTTGGTGTGCTGAACTCAAAAATGACTTCCAAAATTTTCCCAGACTCACATTGAACCGAATTTTGACCAATTTTAGACCAAAATTTTTATATCAAGTTAGACATTGATCCCAGCAGTTTTTTGTGTGCTGATAACGAAAATCACTTTCATTTCGACTCCAGACTTATATTTTCATCCTAAATTAGGTCATTTTGGACCAAAATTTTCATGTCGAGTTTTATATTGTTTCCTGCAGTTTTTGGTGTGCTGAACTCAAAAATGACCTTCAAACTTTTCCCAGACTCACATTTAACCGAATTTTGACCAATTTTGGACCAAAGTTTTTAAATGGAGTTTGACACTGATCCCAGCAGTTTTTGGTGTTCTGATAACGAAAATCACTTCCATTTGAACCCGTGGTCTAAAGTTCACTGAATATGAGTCCTTAAGATGGACATTTCATCTACTCAAGCAAAGTCCAAAGTGCACAAACTATGTCAATTCGCATCGCTCAGCCACACTACGCGCCCAGACTAAACGGCGCGTACCCCTAGTATTAACTGTGATAACGTCTGCCAATCAATATTGTTTTATTCACAATGAAAGAATGACAGAATGTTTCATAGATATTACTTATAAAATTGAGAATTCATTAGTTAAGAAAAAAGAGATATCGAATAGTGACCCAATCATACGAGTAACCAATTAAGCGATTCAATGCTGGCAATTGAATGTTACTCGACTGAGGGATTCACATTGGTGTGGCATCAGGGAATTGGTGATGACAGTGGGTGCTTCATGAAGACAGTGTAGGAATGTACAGAAATTGAGTCTAGATAGTTGT